ATAGGGACAGAAAATGAAACAGTGGTTCCCAAGGGTTAGGGGGAGAAGAGAGGTGTTGACTACAAGGCAGCACAGGAGAATTTTGGGGGGAGGAGTGACAGAACTATCCTATACCTTAATTTCAACGTGCTGTTTACAGCTGTCAAAATTTAAGGAACTAGGGGCCGGCCCAGTGGCATAGCGGTTCAGTTCACACGCTCCGCTTCAGCGGCCCAACCTGGGGTGCGCAGGTTTGGATCCCAGGCAGCACTGACACACCGCTTGTCAAGCCATGCTGTGGTGGCGTCCCACATAAAGTAGAGGAAGATGGGCATGGATGTTAGCCCAGGGCCAGTCTTCCTCAGCAAAAAGAGGATTGGCAACAGAAGTTAGCTCAGGGCTAATCTTCCTCACAAAAAATTAAAAATAAATTTAAAGAACCATATACTTTAAAAGGGTGAAATTTAGTCTAAGTAAATACTTTAAGTAGAAAAAACCTTTAAATCGCTTGCTTTCTTAGTAAAATAAGTTTTCTAAGCTCTAAACCCTTAGAAATCCATGGGCCTGCCAAGGGCAGTCCAAGGTAAATGACAATTTTCCTTCTACATATTTCACTCATTTCTGCTGGTGACTGCTAGACTACAGCATAACCCTCTATTTAGAACACAAAGAACAAAATCATATGGCCCCTCAGAGATTTTCATTGGATTAGGGGTCAACAACATTTCAGGAGCTATGTGCCTGTTTCCTAACAAAAAGTTTTCCTCTTCTAAATCACTGCCAACTGAGCAAGTAATGTATTTACAATCGTTAGGCTTTTAGTTTTAACTAGTCGTGAAGTTCCCAAAACCTGCAAATAATGGAGGTGCTTCTGGTGCTACCCGGGTGAGAGAGAACCTACGGGTTTGGAAGTGAAAAAAGAAGAGAAGTTGAGAAAAGAAAAACCAGATCAGGAAAGAAATCTTCAGGAAGGTAAACAGAACAAAGGGAGAAAATGTCTTATTCTTCCTCCCTCTCCCCCTCGCAGGATCTAGAGCTCATGCTGTTCACTCCTTTCGGGATACAAATCTTTCTTAACTCCTGAAGGTAACTTGCTCTAGTAACCGGATTTACTTCTGAAGCATCTCTCAATGACACATGAACTAGTATTTGACCATCAATCTAAAACATACGTTAAGGCCATTCTGACACACAGAAAATTAGTTGTCACCCTTTTTCTCAAGTTGCCCATTTCACAGATTACTACAGCCAAGAAAAGCTTGTTTGGCATCAGATCAGTGCTAAACTCAGCAGAAAAGGTTACCAAAGTAAAAAAACTTTAAAATAAAATCCACAGTCCTGATACGAGTCTTCAGCATCTTTACACCCCGTCTTCAGGATCTTTACACCCCATACTGAAAATCTTCACCATTTATATAGTCAACAGCCTTTATTCGGCAGAACTAGAACTCAAGTAACCAGATGAATTCCAAAGTTCTTGAGAAAACTGCTTCTACAGTGCCAATCTTGCTGCTACACCAAACCTCCAACTTAACCTCCTAGTTTAGCAATTCATCATTGACACCTTCCCACAGGATTTGTAAGCTTTGGTCAATTTACATTTTTTATTCCAAAAGGTACATTTAAATATCAAGTACTCAAAAAACTAAGCTGATTTTAGTTGTTTTTAGGGCCTTCAGGGGAAGTCAGCAGTTCTGCTATCTGCAAATAATCCAGAGCCAGGAATATTTAAACAACGGAGTCTCTAGTTGAGAAACTTTTTGGAATTACCACAATAAGATATAAATGGTAGTAGTCGCTAAAACCCGAAGTTTGAAATGTCATCCAAGTAATGTCGGCAAATAACCCACTGCTAAAATTCTGGCCTGTTGACAAAAGTTTTCAACATTCTTCATGGAGAACGCAATGAGACTGGGTTGAATGATGTTAGTAGTTGAGAACAGCGTCTCACTAAACTAGGTTCTTGATCCAGAAAGCTGAGCTCTTGATGCATCTAGATTTGAGGTAAACTATCAATAGGATTAACTATGGGAAAAGTAAAGGCATAAAATAATCCTGATTTCTGGTCTGGCCAAAACCCAGTTATTTTGGATTGCCTATTTTGGGTACAAGGATGAGTAAACAAAATATTATAAAGAAAAACAAATATGCCTTACTGGCTGTTTACCTCTTGAACCAGAGTGCCTTTCTCATTTTCTTTCATATTCTGAAATCACACCAGAATTCCTCAGGACAAATTTCAACAAGATTCCATCAGATTCTTTACAAATACGGGTAATTCAACAGCTGGCCCATTTAAAATGTGGCTTAAAGTCAGGCACTAGCTTGAGATATTCTAGATTTATAAATCCACTCAAATATTTTGCTTTTCATCAACTCAAATGCAAGTAAATGCTATTACTGTATTAAGCTCACTAGACCAAAGGTGAACGCCATTTTTCTCCTACATTTACCAATTCCTGTTTTAAACTCATTTAGAGTGACTACCAGTAGGTGGTGCTCAAATGAGACAGTTGTCTCAACAGGCGCACACATACCGGTTCTACATTACCTATCTTGTCCTTTTAATCATTTCAAGCAAATGAGCAGCGTAATTGTCAAATCCAAAATCTTTTAGTCATGACATAAGGCCTCAAGCAATATGGTTAAGTGAGCATTTTACCCAGTTTAGAATTATAAAGACAAAAAAGCATTTTCAAGTTGCAGTCAATGATTCTATGGCATTTTCAGGACACATTCCACTTACTATGAGTTGCCTTACAGAATACCAAGTAGTCATGCTATTGTCATGCTTTCAGCTGGATTAAAATTTTTCCTTTCATGTGCAAAGAAAACATACTTAGGGTTATCAATTACTTCAATTTCTCAGATTCATGGAATGTTATTCAAATACAAAGTGTTAATTTACCAACTATCTAAAACAGTAACATACACTACATGCTTGTCATTTACACCCAAGGATACCAATTACTATCAATTTCTGACCCTTTGTGACCAATCACTGCATGTAATCTACATGTTACCAAATTAGTTCTTTAAACTCTAGTGTGCTATTTCTTCCATGCTGTCAAATTTTAACCACTTCAAATTATAATCTTCCAACATTCCACTAGGTAACGGCATCTTGAAAATTTCTGAAAAAGCTTACCCCCATCCTCCAACCAGTCGCAAATGGGCCCGTCCCCTCATTTAGGCTAATTACTTGTAACTCTACAAACTCTTAATCTCCAGTGTGACAATGTTCCCTCTTCACTTAATCTTGCTCTTTAGATACAAATTGCTATTGGAAGTGAATTTTATTTCTCCCTTAAGTGACAGTAAACCACTCAACTTCAGATATAGTTTTCCGAATCTGGACAGTTAACTCGAGCAGAGCTCAGTACCATTTAAGCTTCACATTTTAGGTTCTTTAAAAACTACTTCAGTATTTGTAAATGTAAAGCTGCAAATTCCAGTAACCAAAAATCTAAAATATGACATACCAAGTTTACTCAACATTGATTAACTAGACAAAATTTTATATGCAACACATGGACTTTAATACTACAGAATCTATTCTTATAAACTAGCTTATATGTACCAAGTTAACTGTCCTAACTAGTGTTACAGTAACAGACCCGATGGCTTTTCACCATGTTCAACAGGTTACTCTTCCATTTAGAGAAGCTGAGAAACCCCAAAGTTGCCACCCAAAAAGTTAAACCAAAATTGTCAAATTCTGAAGTTTCAGCAGATGTAACATCGGAAATAGGTTATGAATAACTCTTACTCAAGTCTTTTACCTAAGTAGTACTATAGCAAGTTAGTGTTGACCAAAGACGACACAGGTTTGTCATTAAACTTTGTTTTAATGGGTCTCAAAATTCTGTGACAGATTTTTGGTCAAGTTGTTTCCATTAAAAAGTACTGATTTTAAAAACTAATAACTTAAAACTGCCACACAAAAAAACCAAATGGTCCACAAAACATTCTCCTTTCCTTCTGAAGGTTTTACGATGCATCATTATCATTAACCAGTCTTTTACTATTAAACTTAAATGGCCAATTGAGACAAACAGTTCTGAGACCGTTCCACCACTGATTAAGACTGGGGTGGCAGGTATTGGGGATAATATTCATTTAGCCTTCTGAGCCTTCTGGGCAGACTTGGTGACCTTGCCAGCTCCGGCTGCCTTCTTGTCCACTGCTTTGATGACACCCACAGCAACTGTCTGTCTCATGTCACGAACAGCAAAACGGCCTATTAAAACAAATTTTATATTACTATTAGAAACTCTTGGTAAGACAAAGGCAATTATTTTCCATCTTTAGTAAAACTTCCAAAGTGCACTGGTCAGTCAGTCATCCTTACCCAGAGGAGGATAGTCAGAGAAGCTTTCAACACACATGGGCTTGCCAGGAACCATATCAACGATGGCAGCATCACCAGATTTCAAGAATTTTGGGCCATCTTCCAGCTTCTTGCCAGAACGACGATCAATCTTCTCCTTCAGCTCAGCAAACTTGCAAGCAATGTGAGCTGTATGACAATCCAGCACAGGTGCATAGCCAGCACTGATTTGGCCTGGATGGTTCAGGATAATGACCTTGGAGAAAAGATTTGCATTTCAGTGTGTCTCAAAGAGAGTTAAAGCTCTGGCAAGAGATGAGAATGTGTCACTTTAAAGTGTTACCTGAGCTGTGAAGCCAGCTGCTTCCATTGGTGGATCATTTTTGCTGTCACCAGCCACATTGCCACGACGAACATCTTTGACAGACACGTTCTTGACATTGAAGCCCACATTGTCCCCAGGAAGAGCTTCACTCAATGCTTCATGATGCATTTCAACAGACTTCACTTCAGTTGTAACATTGACTGGAGCAAAGGTGACCACCATGCCAGGCTTGAGAACACCAGTCTCCACTCGGCCCACAGGAACAGTACCAATACCTAAAATGTTTACAACACAGTATCATAAACACACCACATACCAAGTAGCAACCCATGCAAATTACACTGACAGTAATGTTCAACTTACCACCAATTTTGTAGACGTCCTGGAGGGGCAGACGCAAGGGCTTGTCAGTTGGACGAGTTGGTGGCAGGATGCAATCCAGAGCTTCAAGCAGTGTGGTTCCACTGGCATTGCCATCTTTACGGGTGACTTTCCATCCCTTGAACCAAGGCATCTGCAACACAACGTCAATTAGCGTTACCATGAAACTTGCCCCTTTCAGAGTTTTTCAACTGCTTTGAAAGCCACTTACGTTAGCACTTGGCTCGAGCATGTTGTCACCATTCCAACCAGAAATTGGCACAAATGCAACTGTGTCGGGGTTGTAGCCAATTTTCTTAATGTAGGTGCTGACTTCCTTAACAATTTCCTCATATCTCTTCTGGCTGTAGGGTGGCTCAGTGGAATCCATTTTGTTAACACCAACGATTAGTTGTTTCACACCCAGTGTGTAAGCCAGAAGGGCATGCTCACGGGTCTGCCCATTCTTGGAGATACCTGCTTCAAATTCACCAACACCAGCAGCAACAATCAGGACAGCACAGTCAGCCTTTTAAAGAAAACAAGGCCATACCTTGTCAAAGCTCTTCAAAACGAAGACAACACCATGTTTTCAATGTATAAGACAAACCAAGAGTTATTGCCGATAGTTATTAAAACTACAAACCTGAGATGTGCCTGTAATCATGTTTTTGATAAAGTCTCTGTGTCCTGGGGCATCAATGATGGTCACATAATACTTGCTGGTCTCAAATTTCCACAGGGAGATATCAATGGTGATACCACGCTCACGTTCAGCTTTCAGTTTATCCAAGACCCAGGCATACTTGAAGGAGCCCTTTCCCATCTGTTAGGGTCGGATTACAAATGGTTACTTGCTAACTAAGACACGATCAAATGCCAGCTTGAAATTTCTTACCGCACTTATCTAACTAGAAATGCTCGATTCCTCTTCATAATGGCTACATCTAAGTGGCTTTCCCTTATTCTCAAAACCTGGTTACAAAACTGACTCAACAGCAAACATTAGGTTATACCGTTTTTATGCAGCGTGACGTAAATATCTACGCTAGTAACGATAACTAATTTTTCAAAATCTTCACTTAACGTCTTCAGCAGTAGTCGTCTCATTCACCTGTTAGTGATACCTACCTCCGCAGCCTCCTTCTCGAATTTTTCGATGGTTCTTTTGTCGATCCCACCACATTTGTAGATCAGATGGCCAGTAGTAGTCGACTTGCCCGAGTCCACGTGTCCAATGACCACGATGTTGATATGAGTCTTTTCCTTTCCCATTGTGGCTTAGATTTAGCGGTGGTTTTCACGACACCTAAATTCAAAGAAAAAATAAACTTTAAGCCACCGTCCCAAAGGCTTGAAAAAAGCTACGATCCAAACTCAAAAGGGCAAACTCCAAGTTGCATTACAGCAGCGCCCCACTGGCCCCGCTCTCGCCTCCACCCCCGGCGCAGCCGACCACGCCGCCCCTCCCCCCCCGCCGAGGACCGCGGGGGCCGCGGCCGGGAGCGGGGGCACGGCGCCGGCCCTTTGTGTGGTGACTCACGCCCGCCGGGCCCGCGTCCTCCATTTTGAGCGCCGCCAGGGCCTGAGCGGCCATCTTTCCGCGCACGCAACTGGTGCCGCGCGGCCGGCACG